TTGACATTCAAGAGGTCCTGCAAACTTTCGTAGTATTTGGACATCCGACAAGGTCATGGAAAAAAACAAAATCGAGTCTAAATAGTGTATTTTTATACAGTTTCTTTTAGACCCAATTTTCTTTTGCCGCGACCTTCTCGAATGTCCAAATACCACGAATTTGTCGTCGAGGCCTGCATTGGGGGCGATGTTGCAGGGGCAAAGCCATGGTAGCGGCGGGAGGTTCTTAGGTAGGAAACAAGAGGGCGAAGGGTTTGGGCGAGGGGAAACTTGGGGGTCCGGAGTCAATAGTGGTGAAGGGTTTGGGGGAGGGGAAACTGGGGAATCGGGAGTCGCAGAGATGCATGGCGTGAAAGAGAGGGAACAGCCCGAGGTGGGATTGTAATTGACCACTTAAATGCAAATTGGCAAATTACCTCCTATATGATTAATAATTAGTTGTATTATTTGGGGCGGAGAAGAAAGGAATAAACCCTCACCGCCGTCGGGGCATGCAGGAACCGAAAATGATGCCCCCGTGGCTCAGCCACCATGCAATGGCAATAACTCAGCGGCTGCGAGTCTACCGACACGTGACGGTGACTCGATGATCGACGTGAGGGTCATAAGATGATGACCTCAACATTGTGTTTCCATGCTCAATTTCTGCGGTGTCTTGTGTCTTGTCTGAAAATGTGTTACTGTATTTTCTGCAGTGTCTTGTGTGAAGATGTTACTGAACTTCTGCGCTTTTGTTCATATACCGACCGTAGTAAGAGCTTTAATTTTTTGAGTGGGCGATGAGAAATCTGTGAATGTGTATTGAGGTAAAGAAAAAATACAAATCTTCTAAGTTTTGATGCAATGTTGAACATTTTTCCATTGTTAAAAGTGACAATTACAGTGCGTGATAAATTTCTAGATAAGATGATTCGGGCTTTATAAAAAAAGACAACGAAGAATTATGTATGAAAATGATTTAGCATACACAAAGTGCAAAGAAGAAGCCATTCTTCAGGCTGGGTCTGAAAAGACAGCCATGCATACTTCATCTTGTAAAGATGTGATTCATCATAGGCAGGCTTTACAAGAGCTACAACATCCAGTAATACAAAATCTTGTACCCAGAATAGAGTAAAGGGAGAGAAGTAACACGGCTTTTAGTGTGTACAAACAACAATTCAACTAACTGAACAGAAAATACAGTAAAAAAAACAAACGCTCCACAACTAGCTTGTTTTGAAACAAACTGATTCATGGGTTGGTGTGCATTTCGTCATTTCTGATGAATTATGTGATCATTGTTTTTTGCGAACATGACTCACTTATAAAGATTTACCGGAAATACGAAAGCAACCTAACATATAAAAATTATATTAAGATCTTGTTGGACACCTCCATCGCTCCGACGCGGCGACGCCACATAAACCCAGCAGATCGATTGGTGCATCGTCCGGTGGTTGTATCTCATCGTCTCCACCGAGATCATGCAGTCCGTCCAACACAACAACGAGACGGCGCACACTCTCATGACCGCGATCTGGCCCCTCTTCCTTGACAACCGCAACCAACGCGGCTGCCAGGCACCCGAGGCCTACCACACCCTCCGCCAAAGCATCTCTCCATCAACGCCTACTTCACACGCATCAAAGTGTTGGCGACACGCTCCGGGACTATGGCATGCCTGTCTCCGATCGGGCTCTCGTCTCCAATATGGTATGTGGCCTCAGCAACAAATTTGCTCCCGTCGTCTCGCGGATCGCGGATGACCTACGAAACACGAAGCCACATCGACCGTGCTCTCTTATCTCACAACAAGGACTAAAATTTTAACCTATACTGACCGAAGACGGAGCATCAGGATTCCCCTATGTGATCATGCATTGACTCTTATTGGCTGCATTTGTAGGAATATTGTCTATGAATGGCTTAAAAATGCTGAAATTGTCGTGTAAAAATGTAGAAATTATAGTGTATGTCCGCGAAACCTAAAACGCCAAAACTAGCTGAGACACCATATAAAATCCAGATCCTGCTCAAGCTTATAAAAGCCGGGCGGCCAGGGATTGAAACGCCAGAGATTTCTGGGAATCAATTAACATCCTTATGAACTTATGATTCCTACCACTGCTGCAAATACTTATATGATTGTATATTTAGAAAACAAAAAAGGCACACAACATAGATGCACTGTTAATCCAGTACCAACACCAATCAATACTGAGGACCTTCATCAGTTTGTACATCAAAATATATAGTCTTGTCTGCTCCAGGTAGCCATGTAACTGTGTCAACACGCGCCAGCTTGAAACCCAAACTTGCTGTCTTGGATATCATACACGACCCTGAATGATCTTGTTTCCCTGTTCCCCAGAATCGGAACCCCTGTCAGTCCAGCAACGTCTGGCCGAAATGTGGAGCAAATTTTATCTGCTGACACTCGATAGAACACATTCTCTGACGGGAGCTTCAAGATAGACCTTACAAATTTCATCTCCACCGTTGGCATGTCTCTCCAGTTCACCGAATCACTAGTGGACGTGAAACAAATTTTATTCCTTCCAGCTGCTTCTCGGGCATATCCCTTTGCTAGCATTGCCGCTGTGATCGCCTTGTCAAACGCACGAAACACCGGGGACAGAATGAACGTGTCGATCGTGCCAGAATCCAGTATCGTCATTCGAGTTGCGTAGATTGACGGGTCGACTTCAAGCCGTATCCCGTCGACCATCATGTCCAGCTGCTGAATAGCATACGCCGGGTTATCTCCGTGCGAGCCGTATTCGACCAACGGAATGAACTGTAAATTGTACCGATCATACGGCCCGATGGATAGAAATCCTCCGTTTCTATGATTACCAGGAAAGCAGTGAGAGAACGTGGTGTAGTTGGTATGGCGAACTACCTGACGAAAGAAGGAGTAAGTCTCACCCCCAAATCCAATAATGCCTGCATCAGCTGCATTGTACCTGTCATCTCCACTGCAGCCAAACATGAAATCATCAATGCTGAAGTTGTTTCCTAATGTGAGCTTGTCCTTGACCAAGCTTCCGGCCGTGTACTCTTCTGATGCATATCTCAAGCTGTAAAGGCAGCTATCTTGCTCCTCGTTGCAGCAAAAGGGAATACCAAGTGTTTCATGCACATAACCACAATCTTCAGTTGAGCAGCCAACGCTTTGGTAAGTTGAGGACTGAAGGGGGTCAAATATCCGTCCGGACTCTTCAGCTTGATCATGGCAATTTATCGGACAAGGTCGGCACTGAACCCAGGAAAGTGTCGAGCCGGTGTCGATGGTGACGAGGTTCATAATGGCCGGAGTGCCCAGGCCGATGGCCATGAGGAACCGATCTTTATGGATTCTGTCGTCCTCAAAGGAATACCATGTGTTCTGTACATTTGATACTTGTACTGATGCTTGTATGCATGGGTGCATCTCGTGGAACACTGGGAATTGAAAGGCACCATCGCCGTTCTGACCAAGATCTGCTAGCAGTAGACATAACACATTGGGTAATTATTAATTGAGAGAAGGATAAAATTCAAGCATCTGCTGCTATAGCTTTGAAATTTATTCACCCAACACACAATTAACTCAACTCATCTGTTGGTCATTGTTAATGCACTCAATACATAATATTTAGAAAACTCACAGAACACAAATTTGAACTTCACCATATATGGGTATAGGAGATGAGGAGCATGAGCTAGAGCATTACCGTAGGTTGAGGGGCATAAGCTAGAGCTGGTGCAGTACTGAGACGTATAGCTTAGTGCAAGCATAATGAGAATCAAGTACTCCATGCCTAATGTTATTCTCCAGAGAAACTTTGCTTCATAAAACTTCACCAGGCAATATGTACTCTAGTTGCTTAGAGACATGCAAAACAAGCTCACCACCTACCCAGTCATGCCTATAACACTGCTTACTATAATAGATACAATATGCTCAGTAACAAAATTATTAGCATGGAAAATGTTATTGGGACCCAAAACTATATTATTACTGTGCAGATCTTTTGGTAACTAATACGGCCAGGGTTTTTCATTCGGTCAAAGAAATCCGGAAACCGGTCTTTCTGGCCAGAACCGGTGGGAGAAATACCAGACAGTTTTACAATTTTTGCCCAAATTCAAAAAAATTGATCGAACTTTGAAAATTTTCAAATGATTTTGGACGAAAATTGACCGGGAAACCGCCGTTTCCGGCCACCATCAGGGAAAATCGGAAACAGTAAAAAGAAAAACTTGATACAGGCAAGGTAATTCATATAGGAGTTTTGCGAAGTATAGGTAAACAAAATGGAAAACATCTGGGGAAAAGAAGAAGTTATCACAAGTCAGCTGTTGCATTGCATCAGTTAATTAAGGCTGTAATCCTGAGATTCCAACGTTCACATTTAACAAAACCTACAAAAAGAAGAGGATATATAAACTACAATTTGTCACAGTTAGTGGTTTGCTAACTTCAGGCAGTCAATCAACAACGGGAAGTTCAGTCGGTAAAACACCAGTCTGTGGAGTATCCCCACTGACGCCTGTCGCCTCCCATGCATGGGTACCCATTTGCCGTAGGATGGCTTAGAAGAGCAGCTCCGAGAGTGACTGTTTGATCCGGCATCACCGACGCATTGACATTTTTCAGCTTCCTCCTCCCATCAAAATAATCGGTGACAAGTCTCCGAATCCCAGGGACCATGGTGCTTCCACCAACCAGCACAATCTCATCAAGCAGGTCCTTGTTCTTGTCTAGCTCAGCTTGTCTCATGGCACTCTCCACCAACGCCATGGCTTTAAGGAACAAGTCATGGTTCAGCTCCTCAAACTCCGCCCGGGTCAGCGAGGCCGAGAAATCGACGCCATCGACAAGTGACTTGATGCTCAGTTCGGCAACGTCTTGGCTGCTCAACGCCTTCTTGGCCTGCTCACACGCCGTCCTCAACCTGCCCAGCGCGCTGCCCTTGTCGTCGTTGCGGATGAGGTCCTTGCCGTGCTTCTTCCTGATCAGCTTGACGAAGTGATCGACAATCCTCTGGTCGAAGTCCTGTCCTCCGAGGAAAGGATCCTCGTCTGCTCCCATGAACTCGAAGACGCCGTCCACATACGACATGACGCTCGCGTCTGACGTCCCGCCGCCCATGTGGAGAACGAGGACGTTGCCCTCGTCGCGCAGCTTCCTGTGGAGGCCGTGAGCGACGGCAGCCGCGGTCGGCTCGTCGATCAACCTCGTGACGCGCAGGCCGGCGAGTTCGGCGGCCCTCAAGATGGAATACCTTGCTGGATCGTTGTACTGCTGCGGCACCGTGACGACGGCCTCCTGGATCGCGCGGCCGAGGTACGCCTCGGCCGACTCCCTGAGCTTGGCGAACACCATGGCCGTGATCTCGTCGGCGCCGAGGTTCTTGACCGCACCGTCTGCTACCATCTTCACCTGAACGAGGGGCCTCTCGCGGCCTACGACTTTGTAGGGCACGCGGGCCATGAGTTCCCGCACGTTCTCCTCCTCGCGCTCAAAGTCGCGCCTCTTCCCGAGCAGGCGCTTGAAGCCGAAGATGGGAGCGGCGTGGTTCTTGGCGTCCTCGCCGACCAAGACGGACCCGTCGCCGGGGAAGGCCACCCAGGTTGGGATGCAGAGCTGGAACATGGTTTCGGCCTGGCCGTTGCCGTGGCCGTAGCCGGCGACGCACGAGTTGGTGTTGCCCAAGTCGATGGCGATCGCCGGAGACGGAGAGTAGGGCGTCTGGTTGCCGGTGAACGCGCCCGCCTGGTCGAGCAGAAGAAAACACGCAAGGATAGATACGAGGATGGCCGCGAGGCCCGCGACCCTCACGTCAACCATCGCCATCGCACTTGATCCAAGCTTCTCGATCTGCCGCGTCTTGTGTTGGGTGATTGGATCTATATATTTTCTGAGCAAACCGCCGGCCGATATGTTGTTTATGGTCCCGAGTTTCGATCCATCTCTAGTCGGAAGTAGTAACCGAACGCGAATCCAGGAGCTGTTTTGCCCAACTCGTTCTCTTTATTTCATTTTTCTTTTTTTTTGACAGTCAAGCACCTTCTTTATTTATTTATTGATTTCAATTAGTTAGTACAGTACATAATAAGTAGGAAAAAGTCCAAACCTTGAACTAGTAGACAAAAATTAAATCGAACCCTGAACCCTAATAGACAAGATCAGCACATCGAACTCTGTGATGCCGATTTATTGTAAGCCTTGAAAGTGTTCACAAACAGGGATTATCGATGTGGCAGCTCGAACCCGGGATTGTTGGATGCAACCATGACCAAACGCAAATCATGGAGTTGTTTTGCCCACATCATCCTTCTTTTATTTGACTGATTTCAATATACATACATAAATGATTTCTTTTAGACTACCTTGGATTTCATTTAACTATTTATTTAGAAAAAGAGGTCAAGTTCATGTCCTAAATAAGACCAACACAAGAGAGTATGACATTACTGGAGCAACCTAGGAGCTTTTACAAGCTTGGTGGGTACGGTGCAACGGTGTCGTCACTAGTGCAGATTGGATAATGGCACATATTAAAAAAAACTTTCGATGACACGTTCGATTTGTCGCCTTGCGATGAAAGACGAAGATCTCTCATTTAGTGGGAAAATGTACATCCATGCGTAAATGTTTAGCACCAAAAAATGCAAACACTAATTGAAAGCATATTCATTTTTTAAAAAATTTGTTGAAATTTGGAGCATCTTTACTGGGATTGATATAGTAGTCTGAGGAAAATGTGCTGATAAATTCCCTAACATCTTGTTCTGTTGCTCATTTGACCTGCAGAGGTGATGGAAGCCGGCACCACCCTCCTAGCGTTCACCCGTCCCGTGCTCGCAGATGCCTCGGACTCCGCTTCCTGGAGCCGCACTCTCTCGGGAGATTTTTCGGTTGCCTCGGCCTATCATATCATGCTCTGTGTCGTAGGCTGACTATTACTTGGGTGGCGCCTCTATGGAAGGTGTCACTCCCCCTGAAGATCAAAAAAATTGTGTGGCAATTGCAGAGGGGTCGCCTACCTTCGGGTACAAAAGTGCTCAAGAGACATGGCCCATGTGATGGGCTCTATCCTTTGTGTGGGGTTTCGGAAACAGGAACCCACATCCTCTTCTCTTGCACGGCAACTCGGGTGTTGTGGTCCGTTGTCCGAGATGCACTAGGACCAGACTGGGAGGTCCATGATCGCGTAGGCTTCCACCAGGCTAGAGCAGTTCAGGTCGAGAGGAAGAGGCGGCTATTTCTGACTTGTTTTTGCGGCGTTAGCTTCGATTCTTTGGATAACACGTGATAAGACGGTGATTGAGCGGGTCTTTCTCCGCCAGGCCTCTGACTCATACTTAAATTTCTTGCGTTCTTGCAGCACTGGCATCCGCTGGTTAGGCAGCGGGACCGCGGCCGTCCGGGGCGGATGTTGGACTCACTCCATGACACCGCTCGGTGCCTCTCTTCGCCAGCAACCACTTGATGTTGTGGTTCCAACAGACTTTTATTTCAGTGTTGTGGTACTCTTTGTATGACCCGGTTGATTGCTTCATCAATAAAGCGGGACGAAAGACTATTTCAAGCCAGCGGGGCGGAGCTCATCTCTTTCATGAGATGCATGTTTTTAAGATCGGAATATGTCATATGTGTGGAGTAAAATAAACTAATTATGATACGAACTTACTACTGCCAAGTGGTCAAAACCTATACATGCATCAAAAATGACATAAGGAATTCATGTGTTTACGAACATAGAATCCATAAAAGGGTAATCTTTACTTATTGCGGAGGACACTATAATTTTGTGTACAAATTTAGTCATAGTATATGTCATGTTAGGAACAACTTAATGTCTACGGTATAATCATTTTTTGGAGAAATAAAACAAGAATTGTGTTTCTTTAATAACTTGAACAAGCATGGTGGAGGCGGCGGGACTAGCGGCAGACTCGGAGGCGGCCATGGCAAGGAGAGCGGGCTTGGCGGGACCGGCGGCGCGGCAGACGCGGAGGCGGACATGGCAAGGAGCATTGAACGCTGTCGTCTTCCTCCCTCCCCGGCATCTCCTCCTCAACCTCCTCGAAAATCCTCCTTCGGTTACAAAGGTAGCCTCGCTTCCCTATGGATCCGGACCTGCTCAAGGAGGAAGAGACGGTGCTGGATCGTGTACTAGCGGCGGCGTGGGGGCATGGCTAACAGGCTCGAGTGGCGGCGAAGGGAGGAAAGAGGCGGATGTGCTAGGGCTGGGGGCGTCGGCCGGCTTAAATAGCCGGCTACGGCCTCGGGCGACACCACGCGGCGGTTACATCGCTGCGACGGTCGAGGCGCCCGTTGGATCATCGGGTTTTCCGGCGAGTCTATGTGGGGCCACGTCGTCAGGCCGATATCCGCCCATATTTGAGTTGGGTATGGGGGGTGCCGGTCAGTCCGAGCGTTTGAGGGCCATTTGACAGGTCCATTTGGGTCAAAAATCGTGACCGGCCCGACCGGACGTATGAGACGGGTTTAAAGGGCGTCGGGCATACCCCTTCCACCTCACCCCTCGCGTACCGGGGGAAACCCTAGGACATGTCCGGGCAACAGCGTCGTCATCGTCGCGATCCTTCTTGAGGGTGTTGTTTGGTATGCGGCGGTCCGGAATGCTAGGAGCGTGGTGGTATTTTCCGGTGGGCGCGGCGGTTGCGGGTCCTCATCGTTTTCGTTTATCCGCCGTCGTTGGCATTATTTTCTCTTCAGTTTCTTTTTTTGTTTCTTTTGGGCTTGCGTGTGCTGTGGCCACAGCATTTGTATCGTGTGGTCGTTGCTTTATAATATAAAGTGGGGGCAACCCTTTTTGGGTAAAGGTAGATGCTCTAGGTCTACAGGTGACGGCTGCTTCCTTTCATAGTTTCATTCCCTCCCCGCCCCAGCCCGGCCGTTTCGCCTTTCGCGCCGTGGACACCGCTTCCTTCCCCGTCTCGCCGTCGCCTCGCCTTCACCCGCTCCCTCCCTCCCCGAAACCCTACACCCCTAGTGGCGGCTAAGCTTCCGCCGCCGCCACCATGGCCTCCTCCCACTCCAGCATCGACGCCGCTCT